GATGACACTATTAATTGATCGATGCAATTACCATCTGAAAACTGAGTGCGTACCTGAATCCACTTACTAAGACGTCGGAGGACATGCTGAGAATCTCTATTGACCCTAGTACTTAAATAACGTCCCAGTGCGTTTCAACTTTTAACTGGTTAGGGATCCATACAGAAGTCCTTCTCAGTCAGAAGGGTTGAAGCTTGGAATGTCCTGCCGACGGATATTGTTATGTCTGAACCAACACCGCTGTACGCTCCACAACACCATCCGACTGCTGTCACCTTGGTGCCTCCTGTTACCATTTTATTCCTGATTAACTACTACTAGGAACATTTACGTAGCGTTTGTTTATATAACTTCTCCATTCTTTGACCTCTGTGCACGTCCCTACTGACATCAATATGACGCCTGCAGACCGGAGATCATGCTTATTCCATGTGTGCTTAAAGTGACTACTGTATATTTTGTATATTTGTGTTCATGTTTGTAAATGCTGCTGCTGCTGCACGATACACTTCGAGTGCATATCATGGATCTGTCAAAAATGAACTGCTGTGTCGTGTTGAACCCAACTAGGGGTCGGGTAGGTGTGTGACATGCTTGAGAAGGAGGTTCGGCGTCTGTGCAAGCCATGCACTTACCTACATTAGATTTGCTATCGCATGACATTTTAACCAAAATTCTAAAACGCCTTTCCAATTAGAAAAGATTACTCACTTACACTTGTAGTATTATATTGATATTAATGTAAGCTATTACGGAGAGGCTCGTAAAATTTCGTAGTGACTGTAGTTTTGTCAAATAGTTTACAAGCAGCATTGATGAATGGAAAATAGAATGCTCTATGAATAGACAAGGAAGAAGTCGTGTTGAGCATTGGATCGATTGGCTCATTGTCCTTAGCTTTCGAACTCTTACAGGAGTCTATCTTCAGACATGATAAGTAGCAACCAAAAGTAGCGTTGCTACTTCTCATCTCTGGAGATGGACTCCTTTAGGAGTTCGAAAGTGCAGGACAATAAGCCAATTGATCCGGTGCTCGACACGTCTTTTTCCTTGTCCATGCAAATACCTGGAACGCGAACGTTTTCATTCATTCGGCTCAATGAATAGTCATTTCATGGTCTTCAAAAATCTAATTCAATTGCCGAAATTATTTATTGGTTAATCTGACTCCCAGAACCTTTACTGGAGTCCATCGCCAGAGATGAAAGTGGCAACAGTATTAGGAAGTAGGGACTCATGGACTCCGATGAAAGTTCCAATGCTCAGGTGAATAAAGAAATGCTGCCGGTGATCGAGCAGCCTTCTTCCCTACCTATATTTGAGTTTATAAGGGCATTGAAAATCAATGCAAACTGTATACTTAGCAAACATTTGTTTTTTCCAGTGGGGTTTTTGTAGGTTTTAATCGCCTCGTTGGTTGAACTTCGATCTAAATGCTTACCCTCATGTGGGTGAGTAGTTATGTTTAATTCCTCTGGAATAAGGCAATCTGAACGCGTTACACCAATGTTTCATGCCCGAACGGGAGTAAAACATGCGGACGACGAAGTTTTCTTCACGTTTTCCACTGCAATCGACCCCATCTCTACTGGGCTATGCTCGGATTTACTGCTTTCTCATGATGGAAGGATAGTCCAATTATCTTAACTGAGATTCGGGTTCCAACAGCACCTTGATGTGGCCTTATGGCAATCGTCATTGTAAAATAATATTCTCATTTCGAAATCGGAGGCTCTTGCACCTTCACGTCAAACTGAAACGACGTAGGTATCAACAGAAGCAATTGATGCTGGTCAAAATCTGCTCCCCGTGATACATGAGATCCCATCAAACGAACGTTAAAATAGTAGCTCTACTGAGTAAATTATAAGTAATGTTTTTTTGAAAAAATCAGAGCACTGGAATAAGGAATTGCCCCATCACTTCACAACCCTTGCTGTGTCGGTTTGGTACTGGTAATTTTCAATGTGCCGTTTCAACATTCTGACGTTTGCGGCCTCGGTCACACCCATTGATGGAGTGTTCCGCGTTCGTGCCATCCACCGCAGGAAGAACGCAGAGTCTATGTTTATCCGGCACGTGTTCTGTGTTCCAGTCATGTCAGGGGATACTTGTCCCTGACACCACTAGCATGTGATGCTCATAGTCAGTTCCACAGTCAATGTATTTTAACTCCTCAAAATGAGACCAGCTCCACCCTGCAGTTCTTGCAAAGAAGGAACCTTAAAGTAGTTTACTACCATGTAATCGCACATTTTTTGTGCGGATGCTAATTTCATCCGGTCTTCAAACTCCCTATCGAACCTTTATGCTTTACAAGAATCATGGTTTGCGTGATTGATCCATTTATTCCATGGCAGACGGCGCAAAAGTTGCAACTCTTACTGCGAGGGTGTTGCCGCCATACTTGCTGCATAAACAGCTTATAGTCCTGGGTGGCACCTTTCGCCGAGTGTGTGTTTCATATTGATGTTTAGGTTGCCTCGAACGGCGATTACTGTCGTCCAGTGGGAAGTAGCTGTGACCTATGCAGCAGTATTTGCGGCATCGTCTCTTCCCACAGCCAAACTCTGTTAAACAAAATCACGGCGACCAGACACGGGTAAGTACGCAGTGGCCAACGTGTGCCCCACAGGCGCTGGCTTCTGAACGTACGCGAGTCAGGCTTCAAACTTGAATCTCGCCTATGTGAGCCATCAAAGGATTTCCAAATTAGGAAGCGGCTAAGCCTAAGCCCAGAGTAGAAACGACTTTATACCCCTTAGTTGGCTATCCTGCAAATCACGAATTGTGGCGTTTTGTGACAGTCAAAAGCCTGTCGGCTTGTTTATACTGGGGAAAATAGGTCCCGAGACATCTGTCCTCAGGATCATTCACATTCTTCAGTCGCTCCGATTGAGGATGAGATCGCACGCGCTGACTCCTACTCTCTCGTTAAGGGCTGACTGTACAATACAACGTGTCGAGCGTGTGCTCTAGGTTAATATGGCTTGCGCTCAGGCTGGATTGAACAGTGCAGTGAGGCAACGCCTCGAAGAACTCT